GGCCATGACAATGAGATGATACAAGATGCATTTGGTAGAGCAAATTGAGAAGTTCATGATGATTAGGTTAATATGCAAGAGATTGTGGAGGTTGTTGCCAAAGAAGAGGGGAAAGTATTCACTTTTAGCGAAAAGAGTGACCGATTTTTGAACCCCATTTTTGAACCTTCAAAGCTGCAAATGTAATCTGCATCAAATGCAAAGTTTTGTGAAATTGCTCAAGTTTCATTTCCTCCGGCCACACCATATAATGCTACTTTGGATAAGTGCAAATTCTGGAACATGCTTTTCTACCATTGATTGATAGTTGATCTTGTGAGATACACTCATACCCTCATTTCATGGAAGTCCTTTCTTTCTTTTGTATTGGTTTCTTATGGAATCAGTTTTACTTCTTTTAGGATTCACTAAATTGGTTTATGAAAATTAGAAATACCAAGAAAAAATTCAAAAACGAACAAAAGTCGTTTAAAAACGTTTTTATATACCAATAAATACAACAAATTCCTATACATAGTATCAGATTAACTCTAATTCTAGTAACTAAAATAACACTCATCTAAATTGACAAAGTTTGAGTTGATTCTTCATAATGGTCTTTACGTAAGATTGGGCCTATTCACAAGTCAGGAAGTAAGGACTTGGTGACAAACTATCGCACTATCATGGTGGGTAGTGTTTTTGTCAAGTTGTTTGGTAAATTGGTGGAGTCAAAGTTGAGCACATGGACTGAATCTCATCAAAAGAGAGTGTGGTTTCAAGTGGGTTTTCGCCCTACATACAACACCATTGACCATATCTTGACCTTGCGTGTTTTATGGGAGAAGTCAAAGGGCAACGGAAAAGCTTTGTTTTGCATCTTTGTTGATTTTAAGAAAGCTTTTGACACCGTACCTCGTGAGCTATTATGGTAAAGGCTCCAAGTCATTGGAGTACCATCAGATATTCTAGCAACTGTGGCCACGTTATACAATTTTGTTCGAGCCAAGATCAACACTTCTCAAACTAAAGAGGTTTTGAGTACCATTGGAGTGATTCAAGGTTGTACTCTCTCCTACTCTATTTGAAGTTTTTATAGATGATATTGAAGAGTGGTTGGAGGCATGTGATAGTGAAGGTGTCAAGGAATCTTTGTTATCAAAGCTCTCTTGTATGCAGATGATATCATATTACTAGCACATGATGCAATTAGTTTACAGAAACACCTATATACTTTGGCTAGCTTTTGTACTCAGAATCAGATTGAGGTAAATATAGAGAAGTCTAAAGTCATGATAGTGGGCACTAGATTCAAGTTTTCCTTCTATTATCACGATCTACAATTAGAAGATGTGAAGAGTTATAAATATCTAGGCATTGATTTTTCTAATGATTATAGTTGGGCACTTTGCGTGCAAAAGAGAGTAGAAGGTGGTTACAAAGCTCTATATTCATTGCTAAATCGGTGTAGAAGGGCTCATCTTGTGTCTTGGAGTCTTAGAAAATTTTTATTCAGAAGCTTAGTGTTGTCGGTAGTACTGTATGGAACCCAAGTGTGGGGTTCTGGTTGTAAGAAGACATGTTGGGAGCGTGTGGAGAGGATGTAGAAGATATTTCTACAAGAAGAATTGGGTGTGAGAAACCAAACTTCATACGCTATCTTCTTGCTGAAACATGTTGTTTACCTGTAGAGGCTGAAGCTCTATACTTGACCATCACTTACATCAGAAGGGTGAGATCTCTTGATGCTTCTCGTCTTCCTCCTCAAGCTTTGAGTGCCACACGTGCCAAACGATGGTTAGCGGATGTGATAACTTGGTCTTTGTGATAACTTGGTCTTTGAGGTGGAATGTGACGGAACGCGATTGGGACTTGCAACCTATAGCACTACGTGAACGTCTGAAGGAGGAATTTTTGAACATTATTTGGAGCAAGCGCGGCACCAAGATGCAGTTTTATCAACTTCATGTGAATCCTATGCTTGTTTATTGTGAACAGGATTACCTACTTGCAGGAATCTCTACGTCCTTACGTCATATTATTGCTAGGCATAGAACTGGATCTCATAGGCTTGGAATTGAGGAAGTACATTGGCTTAATATTGATAGGAGTGAACCTATTTGTAGATTATGTGACGGTGGGTACATTGAGGATGAAGAGCATGTATTTGTTACTTGTTCTAGGTACGAAGAAATTAGGCTTGCTCATAATATAGATGTAGAGAATTTCTATTCTTTGTTACAGTTAGTTCATTTTGATTGAGGTTGTTATATTAGGGAAATTATTAGTTATCGTTCTAGTGCTCTTGGCACTAGCTAGGGATTGGCCTTTGGGGTCTTTTCCCTTGTTTGTGGTTGTTACTTGTGTTGCGTTTTTCAGCCTTTTGATCCTTTGGGACCCACAGGCTTGATCTATTACCATAATTAATAAAGTATTTAAACTTATACTCAATATCTATAGTTTCCATGTTAGTTAGAACAAAATTGATTGAGTTAAAGAACTGTTTTCACAAGGAAAAAGGGTATTAAAAGATTTGAAAATTTACTACAAATGAATTCAACACTATATAACGAGCATGATAGAAGCTACTTACGTGTATAGTTAATTGTGTGTTGTAACGATCGTAGCCTCCGAAAGTTATTCCACTTATTTTCTCTTGGAAGTGTATGTTCAAGACCTGCTATTCTTCTCATAGCTAGAGGGGCTGACAATTTCTGTGGGCACTCAAAGGTATCCAGCCAAATTCAGCGTCGTTTGCTAAAGAAATTGCTCCTAATATCCGTCGAGTGCGACATAAGATTACGATATAATAATGATTCATTCCTAATGGGGGGGTGCTTTAGAAGAAAGGATATATGATTCCTTCGGCGTGCACGGCACAAGAGCACGAAAGTCACGAGCAGTTCAAAGCGCTAGCAATATAGAACAGTTTGTTTTTGCTGCAAGGGATGGCTCGGGAGTTGCTGGACCGTCGAGAGACTTGCGTGACCCTTAGTCCTGGGCAACGAGTGAGATACAACTTTTGAAGACGGCTGGAAAACGCTGCTCGAAGAGTGTTGGAAAAGAGGAACTGTACATCCAGGTTTTTTATGCAACTCGACGGATGGTTTGGACTGTCCTAAAAGACTCATCTTGCTTACGAACACGAGACAAAAAATATACCATCTGATGGAAGAGATATCACAGGTTCTACCGAGAATTGAACTCGGGCTACTGGATTCAGAGTCCAGTGTCATAACCGCTAGACCATAGAACCCCGTTGCACTGAAACCTCACATTATTATATTTAACTCTGTTAAATAACTTCGAGATACGGATCTCACGGAGAAACATGCGGTGAGTGGCAATCGCCCGGTCTGAGGGGGTAGAGAGCACGATTCTGTTGTACTTGGGCAGATTCCTGATGGCTCTGCAGCTAGAGCGACTGCCTTCGATCCAAGCGAGTCGTTGTCGTGTAAAAGGAAGGATCTGGGCTCTGCCGCGGAAGTCAGTGGCCTGAGGGCACATCAAGCGCAGATGCCAGATCCAAAAACGATCCTTCTCTTCGCAATGTCCGTCGTCCAGGGCCGGAGTGTGTGAACCATTCTCTGCAAAAGCCGCTCGGATCAATAGTCCAGCACCAGCTCTCAGCCCGTCTCCCCGATAAAGAATTGTAGTAGAGCTATCGGCACAATGCTCAGGCAGCTTCTTCCGGTTTCTGTCTACTCCATCTCTTCATTAGCGTGACGCGGGTCGGTGAGCAATGATCAGCTTCTTGGGGAGCCTGTGAAGGAGAGAAGTGATTCAAAGAAATTTTTTGACGGTTTAGGTCCCGACCTTCTGTGGTGGGAAGGTGAATAACACGATATGTCAAGGGATAACCATTAGTCAATCAGTAGTTAACACAGGCTGACATCAGACACCAGCTACAGCATCAGGATCAGGATTAACATTTGTAACCACATTGGAAGCCACGTTGAAAACGCTTCCTGGACGAGACTACTACCTGAATTCAGAATGTATCAAAATACAGCCATGAAGGAGAAGCAGACATAGTCTAGAGTTCGTGTTTAGGACCGTAAACTAAATTGCGACCTGGAGAGATAAACATTGGAAAACAATGCAAGCGTTAGTCGATCTAACTTTGAATGTTCAAACATCGAATCTCGAGGCTAGCTCTGCATAATATCTAATACGAATCCGATTTAGTTATTTAGACGTCTTCCCATTCTTACAATTTCGCCTTGGGATGAAACTCAGATGAAATACCACTTTTGAGTCCGTATTCTTCTTTGTGAATATAAAGACGGTGGTATCTGATGAAGAGCATGTAATGATATGATAGGCTTAGTTTGCGACAAAACGTATTTGTGATGATTTAGAGAATGAAGCACTGCAATTCTTAAAACTTCTTCAGTATAATGTCCATGAGTCTCGACAATTGTTAGTATAACGACTGAAATCCATCAGTATAAAATACACATGCTTGCAACCAAGCAAAATTATGCCACAATCCATTTTGAACGTCGTTAAACATGTCAGACATACGAGATAACCTTCTCTGTCCGTCCTGAGTAACTCAACGTTCTATGTGTATTGCCATAACAAATACCTGAGATATATTTTGGTGGCTTGCAACTGTCTCGTATAAACAGTGAGGGGAGGGATTAACGATATGCCCAAACTTCATGTGAAATGTGTGAAACCAGATTCCAATGTTCAAACACAATCTCACTTTGATGACATAAGCGTTGACGGTGCTACTTGTGTCGCCAAATTACATATTGAACGCGAAAGAAAAGACAAGATATGGAGAACTGAGAAACATACTTCTCCACACATTTTTGAAATTCAAGAAAAATAACGAATGCCTTATTCTAGGCATTTTTTTGTACGATGAATCCATTACAAGTATCCCTTGTTGTAGGTTCAATTCTCTCGACAGCCTACCGAACTCAAAATTTCGACTTTGTTTCATCGAAGTCTCCTGGCCCGAATTCTTGATGAATAGCACGTACATACACCAATGGAGAAAGAGTTGTCGAGCCAAGCTGGTAAACCTTTAGAACAGCTAGTTTTATTACATGCACCCCCAAAATGGTAACAATATGAGTGATAAGACACAGCGGCCGATGGCCATTTGACCGGCCAGAAAAAATCCACCTCAACAAAATAAGCTACAAACTTGCGACTTTGTCGCAGAGTGCCAATTGAATAATCCTCCTAATGTTCGTATTATTTGTAGAACGGGGTCTGACCTACGCTGTATGCCAAAATTGGCCGACCGTATTTTGAGTGGTCCGATGTTAATCTGTTATAATTTCTGTACGCAAACGACTAACGAGCATGTTTCAGGGCAAACGTAAATCTAGATCTGACTCGGTTGAAAGACAACAGTAATCCATCTGTGTTTCATGAAATAAAGACCACCATATGCACAACCCCTGGTCGAAGGTATAAGATATCCTAAGCTGATTGATTTTCAATGTTTTTTTCTTTTGTTTATAATTTTTGACTCCTTTCGGTAAGAACCAAATCAGACGACTTAGAAGAAACGAAAGCAGCAGGTTCATCCCCTGCAGAGAATCATGCCCACATGAATGCAAACCGATTTGAAGTGCTGAAAGAAATTGTTCAGCTACTTCAACTCTTGTCAAGATTCACCTTCCTCCCAGGCGAACCATTTGCCCTCTGAACATGATGCACAGAGGATGACGTTTGGGCACTGTCTGGAGTTGATGCTCCAGATGATGGCAGTGAAGAGTCCGCATCAAAACCTCGTTCCGAGTGCGCTAGGAAAGGGGTTCGTGGTGATTCGACACTCCTAGGTGAATCAATACTTGCTGATGTCTTACTCTGTACATACATTACAGCAGTGCACGATACACGAACAACTGTCATGACAGTGCAAGTTCCAATATTTCATGCATTTCTACAAAACGCAGCAAAAATCAGCTTTCCAGCCGCAAGAAGATCCATACAAAGTATATTCGCCTCCCAGCTTGAGGGCTCAGAACCTATGCCTGGATGGGTCGTGCTAGTAACAGCAAACGAGGAACATGAAAAGAAATGCTTTTAACCGGAAATTAAAAATATTCCTAAAACTCGGTACTTTGCAAGCGGAACGCAGTGTGCTTAGTACAACGGAAGGGACAAACCTTCGGTTTATCTCGCCAGCTTAGAGAAAAGGGCCGACTGAAGATCCTTGGCTTACTCGCTTTATCATCGAGATGATCGTCTCTGACGGATCCATTAGTCGCATTGTGGAAATATTTTGACATTCCTGAATCTTCCTTCAGTGAGGGGGACCCAACTGGCGATTCTGGTGGTCTGCAATCCAACCGCAGTTGCTTATAAGCAAAAATCTCAGCTTTGTCGACAAGTTGCTGACTGATATACTACTTCTTTGGAATTCTGCTTTCTGGGACACGCAAACAGGCTCCATGTGAGGTGAAAGTTTTCAGGATTATTTCGTCTCAGACGTACAAGAGGAGAAAAGGGAAATGCTAAATTCAGTTTATGAGTCAGAACCAACGGTAAACAAACGACTTCAACTTTCACAAGTTAAGAAAAAGATTCTAAGGTAATCACACCTTCTATCACACTAGATACATCCCGAGGCTTGTCACAAGTTCAAATCAGTCATCCTTGGAACTTACCCTCCGTTAATACAAACAAAATGTTCCAAAGTGTGAGCAGAATGGCCGGGTTTTACACGATGAAATAAATTTATTTCTTTTCACACAGAAACAGGTTGCATATGTTTGTATCAAGAGTTAGGTTACTTGAAAACACTCTTTACCGCACAAGAAGGGGATCCATCGAAGACCGGCGAAATGAACCATGCGGACTATTATTACCAAGTGCTTGATATGATAGAGTGGCTTCCAGCATGGTTTCAGCCATCACTGCTCGTTTCTCCATTTCTTTGATAGCCTCAAGAGATGCCTCGTACTTTGCCTACAAAGAACCGACGTTTTAATGTTAAGGTACAACAACGATACGATCTTGTACGTAATTTAAAATTGTGCAAGAAATACTCAATTGAGTAAGCGTAAAGCTATCAAAACTTTGAGTTTGAAAATATTAACAGGTTTCGATTCAGGAGCACCTACAACATCAACTGATACTCATCATGCACATATTTGAATAAGATTTTTTTTTAATTCTAATCGGGTGTGGCGACCATATGTAACTGCTATTTATTGTCCACTTATAATCCCAACTCTTTATTTTACTGGTCGGCTCTCATCTTAGAATCGTCCTTCAAATTTTTTCACAGTTATAATTTCCCCTCAAACAACATGCATCCACAAATTTTATAAAAGTCTATTATAGTACGAATCCCACTGATATTCGGTTTACATGACCTTCTCATACAGTCAGAAAGACATTACTTGTTTATGATAAGTCATAATTCCCATTTCAAACGGGGAAGATCGGTTCCTTATATAAAATGATTTATACAAACATAGAAATATACCTCAATCATCTCTGCAGCTAGCTTTTGAGTAGCAGAATCCCGCTCGGCAAAACGTCTGGCATCATCTGCAATCCTCTGCTCTTGCTCCATACGAACAAGGACCTGTATGCGGACGGATAAACAAAAGCAGTCGGATTAAGCTTTCAAAAAGACGACATATCCATCCATACATAAATAACCGTATAGATCCACATATAATCCTCCCTTCAATAGATTTTATAAGTATTTGGAAAACTAGAACAACTCATTAGGCAACAAATATTGAACTCAAGGGCACTACTACACGACGCTAGCCTAACTCGAACGGATTTTTGTATGATGACAGCATGCTGCTGTTCAGCAATGTTCAGCAATTCAACGCGAACAAGAACAGAAAAAAGACTGATCCGAACTATGGAAAAACGAGCCTGTTGTCAATAATGTATTAGTTAACAGTCATAGTAGGGTGTAGATTGGACACGCGAATATTCACATATCAATATATGTATATCTAACAAGAATAGCTTCAGACATCAATAGTAGTGATTATGTAGAATCAAAAACCACGAAAACTTAACCTGCATCCTTAACTTCTGAAATTTTCCTGGAGAGTAATACTAGTACCCTTCATGAAATAACACATAGATCCTCAAGATTTACATAGAAATAATTATTCCAAAGATGTGGAAATTCGTACTATACAAGATGATTAAACCTTGCAGTAAACGTTATAACATATGCGTTCCACACCTGAACAAGGGAAGCCTCATGCTCCTCCTTTTGTGCGAGCGTAGACTTTAATTCGGCCACTTCTGTTCTCAAATCAGCCACCTCGGCCTCCAACTTTTCCACCTAGTACATGCAATGAGATCAATGTTAATATTGATGCCTTAATCGGCGGTGTAAAGGAAAATAAGTCACAAATATCACGATCAAATTGAATAAAAATCATTACTATGTCTTTGGAACCTCACCAGATTTGTTCCAATCATGACAAATATCCACATTAAGTTTACTTCTCTCTAGAGCTGAATTGCTTCGCAATCACAGAAGACTATATTTGAATCTTACCATGACCAGGGGGAATTAAGTACCTTTGCAGCGAGATAGAGGCGATTGTCGTGCTGAACCATCTCTACTAGGGCAGTTTCTAGCTGCTCTGCTCTGCAAGTTAGCACACAAAACACAAAAAAACATCATTTATTTATTCTGTGTTTTGTTTTATTCAAATACGCGTATCTCAGATGCACATATGCACTCATAAACAGAAATTTCCTCTAGAGTTGGAGACTCCAATACCTGACAGTAGCAGCTTTCCGATCTTCTAAAGCGCGAGAAATCTCATTCTTCAGCCATTTAACCTTTCAGATTCAAAAAAATGTCTTGCATCAATAGGAGCATTCGATCATGTATTTGAATCATGTAAGTTGGAATGACGTTGAAGGGCCATCAAACAAGTGCAAGGAGTTCGTCTAAGAACCTAGATGCAAAATGATCAACTATTCTAAAATGTGCCAATTTCTACGATTTGTAGCTATGAGTAGCATAAAAAGATTGGGTTACCTGCTCCTGGAGATCAGAACCGTTAATTTCATCTTCTTCATCGGAGCCGGGGTTGCTGGCATTTGTAAAAGACCTCTTGACAGATGGTTCTTCGAAAAAAACTGGAAGTTTCATGGTCAACCCGAGCCGTTTAGCATCAATAGCGGCAGGTGTCTGGGGTGATTTCAGTGGGGCGCCATTTGCTTTCTCATCTGAAACTATGATAGTGTTTTTCAATAACAGGCTATCACCACCAGATACTGGTTTAGTGTACAGGTAGGGCAGTTTGGAGGTTATGGCCGCGTTTGAATTTCTCCAGAGATGCAACTCTATCGATCTCTCTTGCAAGGCAGCCAATACATCTGGTCGATGCTTAACTCTTAGCTTTTGCAATCTCGGTTCTGTCACTGTCTGATATCCCATACATGCTATCAAAACCAACTGGCTACTATCAAATGTAGCACTAGCCATGGATTGCAACAGTGCTACAGCATCTCCGGCGTCCCGGGTGGCACTGAGAGCTGGTGCTGTACAAGACCAACAACACATAACCTTCAATAACATTGCTGGAAGAAAAGATACAAATTTCACACTTCTACTAATGCAAACAATTCTCAAAGATCTTTGAAGCTCACAAATAACGATATCAAGGTGCAATATAGAAAAACTTCACTGTTAGCGTAAAATACATACCGTGCATTTCCATAAGAGCAAGCGCGGTACGAAAAAGCATGCATCGATTGCCTTCGAATAGTAGCACATCCCAAACCCTCAAGACTGGAAACAGAAATTAGAAACATGAGAACGTGAGAAACCTTCAAAGTGAACACGGGAAAAACGTAAAGACACATTTAAGTAACATGAAAACATATACATAAGAAACTCTATTACTTACCACTTTCCCAGGGTAGCACGTTGACGAATATTGACAGGAACCAGGGACCACTGACCCACGCCACCTGAACTTGAAGCGTATCTAAATGACTTACTGTTACAGCAGACAGGGGATTATATCAGTGGTGGACATTGGCAATTACTAAGATTCATCACCCTTTCCTCACTTTCATCTATACAGTGAAGAATTACGGTATTACCTAATTTGGGGAAGTGTTCCCGCACCAGGTCTTCAAATACAAGCTGGTCCACCTGATGATCACACGTATTCCGACGTTTATATCGATATTGGAGAGTATATTCCATCAAACGCTCTTAAACTGGAATCGATAGAGAAGTAAGTCAAGCATTCAGATACTGGACCAAGCAAAAGATTACATGAGCTGAAAAATAACATAAAAGGTCCATTTATCTTCTCTGATATCCAGTTCTGACTTGTTGATTTTCATCCCTTCTAGATACCCTGATCATAATTTCCATTTCCTAAACTAACCATGTAAGAATGATAGTCTCCTAACCTGGGCTTCCAGCATCTTTTCCGAGTAATAACCTTCGAAATAATCGTCAATTATGCCCGTTAAAGTCCTGCATAAAACCATTATTCAGCATTTGCCAGTGAAAGAAAAACGAACATCAACTGGAAATACAAAAAATCCACCCTACAATATGGAGTAGAAAAATGAAAATGCATTGGGCTCGTTCATTACATAGGTGTTAGTTTTATCATTTTCCATCCTTTTTCTTTATTAAGAAATAGATGGTTGCGTTTGCTTTGAAAAAAGGTAATGTAATTTCGAGGTTTTTCGTAGAATATCAGATGTAGATTTACAACATTCAGAAACTTGTGTATCTGTACGACATATCTTGAGTACAAATGCCTGTCTTAAAGCAACTTCTGCTTGAAAATCTTGAAGAAAGCAATAAATAATATTCAGCATAAATTCAAGACCAGAAGGTACGAGATGATTAGAAAATTACCAAAATGCGTTCTCCTCGGGCATCAAAAGCAATAAAAGGGCAGCAAGAAAATTCATGGCCTGCGATGCACACGTTAAAACCCAGCTCAATATATGCTGTTACCAAGGCTATTACATCCATATAATGCGTGTTCATGAGTCTTAAATATCTCACGACAACAAGCCATCCTTCTTCACCGAACTCATTTTCATATTACAAGAAATAAGAACAGTAATAACCTGACAATAGCCGACGGATGGATTATGTCGCGCATACGCTGTGAGCAGTCGCCTTAAGGCATTGCGTCCGTCTTCATCAAGAGCAGGATGTCCAGGAAATGTGCGAGGAAGGTCCTGGGCAGAAAAGCATTTGAGGAGTCTCAGCGTCCTTTACAAACTAAAACACAAATCCGCACAGTATATTGTTGTGAAGAGAAAATAAATTTCCTCAACAACAATATCAATCACAAACTTTTGACAGTAGATTACCTTCTCAATCTGATTGGTCCATTTCTCCAAAACACCACTTTTAGAGACCAGGTAATTAGAGGCTGCGCTACTACTGCCATCCAGTAAACCACCAACGCCGTCACTGTCGCCCCCACCATCAGCCAATAGTGTGAGAAGGGCATTGTAATGTCCGTAAGCCCTACGCTTCTTTGTGCCCACAAAAACCTGCCACAACTGCATCCCACAACCCATCCAATCAACAAGCTCAAGGTCAGAATCGGCAGAAACAGCTCATATGCATCGCAAATTTCAATCAGAAGCTGTCTTCATTCTGTAAGGATGGCATTTGAGTCAACAATTATTGATCTCAACACGGTGGAAACATTGTTTTGTTCCAAACTCTCTGAACTTGTGTGAGCGACCATCAATTGACGAAAAAATCTAAGACATGGAAAGGAAAATCATTTGATGCAAAAAAGAATGTCGTCCTAAGCCCCGTACCTCCCCCCTGAGGGCCATTGGAACTCCTCCTCGGACTAGAGATCTGAGTTCCTCATCCCATGGGCAGTCGTTGTCACTGGTTTCAGGCGGACTTGCGACTGAACTGGCTGGTGAAGTAGAAACCCGGGCCACATTGTCCACGTCAGGTAGTTCGTCTGTACTTTCAGCATCACTGAAATGATCATCCTCCGAGTCAGTTCCAGTTCCGTCCAGACTGACTCTACCTGAGTCACCGTTGCTCGTATCATGTGACGTGTTTGTGGTTAAAATATCCTGTTTTGCATGGCCATTCGTATGAATTGCTTCCTTCACAGAATCAACAGGTCCATCCGATGTTCGGTTTTCACCCGTTGTTCCCGTTAGTTCGGGACCTGCTGACGTAACATTACCATTTCGCGCAATACACTCTTTGGCAAAAGAAGACTGGCTGTTAATTCCTCTGTGCCTGATGCTTCCGGCTCTCTCAATCGCCCACAGCGGTTTGCGCAGCTGACCCCACAATTTTGTGGCCCCGGGCTCTGCCTCTATCATAATTCTATCCGGCCTCAGAGTGCTTTGTTTCTCGTCATTGTCCAAATCTTGACCATTCACTTGTCCGTTGGAACCATTTGAACTCACAGACGAAACAGTATCCAGGCCCTCCACTGAGGAGGGCACGGTCTCATTGATGGTACTCAAAAAACGGTCCCATCGCTCCGACCTCTCAGCCTCCTCCTCCTATTCAATTCGCAAACCATATCATAGGTTGATAGTGTCACTTCGAAAACTACCATTCAAGCTTTGGCGGCGAGTTCCGTCACGAAATTGACGCAATTCAAAAGTGGAAGGTCAACGTATGATCAGCAAAGATCGGAAACGAGACTCTGAACTGGGAACATTGTTGATAGTGGGAACGAAAGACGTAAGACGAAGGACTAGACGCAATTTGAAGCACTGAAATCGACACTTACGAAGTCGTAGCAAAACAATTACAAGTCACATACACCGACCTTATAGATGGGGCAATACTCGCGGTATTTTTCCAAATGCTGAGGGCGCACCATGAAACCATACATGTCCCTGCCAGTCCATCATCACAGAACGAACCAGACTCAATCACGGCACAAAAGCCGCCACACAACCGATGGCGAAGCAATCATCAAAGCATTTGGCAAACAAGGTGCAATTCCACGCTGCTGAAATCTTCGACGCAACTCACCGACTGTGTTCGACATAAGCGGGCACCCTGGGCTTTCCACCCTTGGGCGCCCTCTCTTTCGCCATCGCTCCTTTTTGACCACCGCCACTAGTTCCTCATCAAAAGTCCGTCACAATAATCACTCGATCCAAACACTGAACTGATCCGCAATCCGTGTCAACCCTCTCACCCCATCATCTCCCTCCCTTCCATCCGCTCGTACAGGCTACCCAACCATTCATCCACCCACCCACCTTCCGACAGCAAAGTCCGAAACCAAGCTAATCGCTACGGGCGTTCGTCTCCGACTTGCACTCCGCTGCGCAGGCGATGGTACTCCTTCCTCAATCCCTCCCACACTCATTCATTCATTTACAAAACCACCACCTTTCTCCACCCCCGACAATCAATCAACACCAACACAGTGCACAGTTCTTAATTCATTTTCCTTTTCATTCTTCCGCTTTATTCCTCGTGCTGCTCCTGCTGCTGCCCTGCCCTGCCCTGCCGTTCATTCGACCGTCCCCATTGTTCTCCTGAGACCGGCGGGCGGGCCGGCTGGCTGGCTGCCTTGCTCACGGGCTGGACTCACTTCTGCTCAGTCATGCTTCCTCGACGTCCTCGTCCTCTGCTTCCCGAACACAACAACACCAGCGACGATACTGCCCCGCGGCCTCTTCTTTCTCCCTCCCTCGTCTCCTCCCTCTCCCTCTCCGCTCCGCTCCGCTGCTCTTGTGCGCGCAACGTTCTCCTTCAGCACACCCGCTGCCAGTTTTCCTCACTCTCCCTCGTCTTCGGCGACATCCTCGTCCACGTCGGCCGCCAACCCGTCATTCCCGTGGCCCGGGGTTCCTGTCAGATCTGTCCGCCGCTGTCAGCTCTCGCTACTAGAACATCGCCCGACCCTCTTTCCAAGATCGACACACCGGCCACCTCGGACGATCCGTACGCGCGCCGGAGAAGATTCCTGGAATCATGCGTCCCCGTCATGACGTCCGAGTGACCGGTCAACCTCCTCCGCTCCGCTCTGGCACGCGACCATTCCCTAGGCCTCGGGCCGGAAAGGCTTTTCATTCGTCTCGTGGAAAGGCAGGAAATGCTGACCGACGCTTTCGCCTGCTTCTTTTCCACCCGCGCGTAATCGATCAAATAATGTCGGAGCACGAAAACATCTGGAAAGGACGGATGCTTGCACATGATTATCACGCAGCTCGGAGCCGCATCGCAATCCGACGTGGTGTCCCGATACCGTGACTTCACTTGCACCAAAAGCAGATTGCAAGGCTTGTGTAAATGCAATCCCTTGGCAACCTTTGCGCGCTTTTCATTTTCGACCGGCATATTACTCTCGGTACTATACATTTCGAAAGCCATCGACCATCTGAGTAATCAGACTGGAGTCACTTTTCTCGGTCTCTCTCTCTCTCTCTCTCTCTCTCTCTCTCTCTCTCAAAATCAATCAATCAATGCATTCCCTTGAGACCTCGAAGGTCAGGACTACTTTCGTGACTTTCTTATCTCATCGTGGGATCTCTCATTGAAATCTCGTCGATGAATATTTCGTGGCTTTTGATGTTCCATGTCTCTCCGGGATGGATAGACTGAAACTATAGAACCAGATGTACTAAAAACTGGTCCTCTCGTTCTCGCATGGAATTCAACCGCATGGCAGGGATCATGGCGAGACACAGAGGAGAAAGTCCGACACGAGCCCCAGCACAAGCGCGAGAGGAGGGTGTCGAGGAGGTCGATGCAACGATGTTTTTCTTCAAAGGTGGACCATCTGCACTCATGCGGACGAAGGCAGCCCAGCCCTTCTTCGGCCCGAAAATTCGCCATGACCGAAAAAACACATGAGCGAAAGCACCTCACCTCTTATTTGTACCGACCGAACAGCAAATAAATCAAAAAACGAGGCTGGAATCACTTCAAAAATTGAATTTTGAAAAAGACGAATAATCGTACGCACAGTCTGAAGATATACGGTCTTGTCTTAGCCGAAGGACCATTGTCGGAATGCGGATGGTTTAAGAAGGTACAGTAATAATGAGAAATAACTGGAAAGGGAAAGCCTGAGCAAGATATCGACTGCTAAAGCTGGCGGTGAAGTCCACCGTCTGGCGGAAAGAGCTCCACTTTGCAAAGCACCTTTGCATCATATGGCCAACCACATCCTTCTTTGACCACGATCGACGGTGAGGTAAGAACTTGGTCCACTCGCTAACCACGGCCGGCCCGCGCCAACTGGATATGGGCATCCGGCGCTCGAGAGCTCGCTCCCGACGCTCCGAAGAGGAAAGGCTTCGCGTACGAGAACATCGCGCTGCTTAAAAGAACCGGTAGTGCGTGTCCAGTTGGCGCGGCAGAACCGGTGCTTCCTGTCCGCGGCCCCGCTGACCGACGCAGACCTGTGACTTGCACTGATGATGATGATGTCTGTCGCATCGCCGGCGGCCTGGACCGCCGGACACGAGGGTCGATCATCAATGCCGATGGTGCGCAAGTCCTCGCGCATCTTCGAAGCTTCATTTATGATTCGAGGCCCGGCGAATTCCTTCATCGAATTCCATCATCGCAAATGCTGTCTCGAGATGAAATTCTGGCCTTGCCATTCAGTCGATGCGTGTCGGGGATCGCGGAGGTCGGGGCTGTCGAAATGGCAAATGCTGCGAAACAACAGCTGCTTGACTTCCGGCGACGGACGGGCCTCACCGGCCCGAGTTTCATTCCACGTCTCGTGTTTGCTCGCTCGCTTTGGAAGATTGACGATCATGTTGCTAGATTTTGGTCAATAAACTGTTCTTGCGGACGAGCTCCGCGTCCACTTTGCAGTATTTTTAGACATTGATTCTCACCTGAATGCGGGCGGGCGGGCGAGCTTAAACGGAGACGTGCGTGCTCCTCGTCTTGCTGAAGTTGTGAGAAACGCGTCCGACCCTCGACCACGGTCTCATACAATTGTCTAATTTCGATCGGTTTCGAACCTAGACGACAAAAGGCACGAACGGGTATTTCGACGAGTGCTCCTGTTTCGCAACACTAACCGCTTTCGAGGTGTAGTCGGCTCATAGGAGTTCTTGCCGGGAAAAATGGGCCTCCTTCCCTCCCTATAATCTCCAATTGGAATGTGAGCGGAAGTGCGGGAAGGTTGAGAATAATAACCCAAAGAACGACAAGGCGATGTGTGATTATGGTGAAGGGCTTCGACTGCCAGGACATCTGCCGAGCAGGCAAGCCCAGGCCCACCATGGGAAGGCGGGCGGGCGGGCGGGCGGGCAGGCAGGCAGGCAGGCTAGATAGTCTGACTGATGGCCGTCCCGGCCCGTCGTAGCGCGAACATTCTCCTCACCCACTGCGATAAAATCAACCGAGATCGCGAACTAGCAGAATTCTTGCCTGCGTGCGTAGTTCAACGATCGAGTGATAGTTAGATAAATAGATAGATGGATAGATCCACCGGCTACGACCAGTAGCAACTGACGAGCTGGAAAGGAGGGCGGGGACTCGGCGGAAGCGACGAGCAATGAGTGAAGGAATTGTCCCCGCCATCGCAGTACGGCCGATCTGCTGCTCCTTTACAGTGAGTCCCCAGTCGCAGCACGGTATCTGCCGACTCTACCAAACGTCTCGCTACCATTTCACCCCTCGGTGATCTATGATTTTAGTGCCTACTTGGATTGGGTGCACGGATATATACCGGGCCTGGCACTCCTCGTATACCAGGGCATCAGAGTTCAGTACAGCGGTACTGAACTCGACTGTAGTTCCTCGGACGAGTCAATGATTAATGTGCGAGTAGGGGAATCTCTCGTTCTGTATTCGGCTGTAGTGCAGTCAGTGCTGATACCGTAACAGCGAGCATCATGTGTTTCGAATGTAAGCCAAGGGGAAAGGACTCTACTGGCCTTTCTAACCTAACAAGCCAAAAGGGCTCTTGTCTTGTCTTGACCGAAGGAGTTTGGCACCGCCAACGAGTCCACGATGGGTAACACGTCAACGAGTGTACAATCGGAGTCCGCATTCGATAGTCTGCGCTAGTTTGAGAATGTTCATTATGCTTGTTCTGCAAAAATGCCTTTGCTTCCGTGACATGCATGCTCTTGCGACCATGAGCACAAAACGACGTCCCTACTTTGGGTTTAAGAAAGAGTGATCATATGTACTCCCACAACACATGCACACACCAAAGTTTGATTCTGCCCAATAGCTTCTCTTTGCATGCTTCCAGATGACCGTTATAAAACACTCTCGGGACAAAGGTTGTTGTCAATCAGAAGTGCGAGAATCTCTCAAAATACCAGGAGCTTGAGAATTCTAAATAATGTGAGGAGTAGAGCAACGCAGTAGGTAAGTTTTTCCTGCTTTTCTTTAGAGGAATACTCGCAGTTTTTTCTAGCCAAAGCGCTGTGTTTCATCAGAAGAAAATCAACTCACGTCCCTCGCCTTTACTATAGAGGCCTACGACTTCGATATTATAAGTTGCCACGTTTCTAGAGTAGACGTACAATCAGAGCTTCCGTGGGAGCGTGTGTTGTGCTTCACATTGAGTTCCTACAAAGTCTTCACCTTTATTAAAAGATACAGTATGGGCAAGTGATGCGATATCACTAGTTTCGATACAAGAATCTGGCCTGTTGTAAAAACAAGTGAATTCGTTTTGCCCTCCTGCCGAAGACGCTTCTTTCTACTTTCGAAAGAATATAAAGACACTACCGACTCGACACTTCACTTGGCTGTAATGAAACCACAAGACCACTTTCGCCGTCCTCGACATTTGAGTCACGATACTTTTTGGATTCATCTTTCCTGTTCCATCGATCGGTTGTTGAGGTAAGGCATCCAACTACTTTACGTAGTGGACATTTTCTTGAGGTCGTCGCCGAGAACAGTTCGTTCGATGCTTCTCAAGCTTTTACGCAGTTAAAACTGCCAATAATTCTCGAGCAAGTGACGCCATTAACTGTCACAACATCTGCTGCCTTGCAGAAAGGTTATCCTCTCAAGCCAAATTCCCTGCACACTTTGGCTCGAGATCATACAACGGACAGTGGTTGTGTTCGAAATTCCTGTGTGAAACGAGCTCAAGAAAATTCTCGAAGTTGCACAAAAAATTATAGATTACTTGTGATGAGTTCAGAAACTGATGTCGTGTGCACAATACACAATTCAACCTTATTACAACTAATCAAGCACATTCACTCGTGTCACAGATGACACTCGGTAAAACGATGCAACGTGGACACAAAACTGAATCTAGCACCGATCAAACCAAAGTTTTTTCTCAAATGTTGCTCATAACCATACATCTCCGCTTATGCCTTCAGAATGCGTTTCCACGTTTCACAACTTACAAGCTCATTCAGGCTTGGCTTTTTTCACGTCCATGGAGACGAATGTCCGTTTTAGTGTGCACTACCGTAGACTCCAGTGGGAAGATTCAAAGTAGCAGGAATTATCCTACTTTGTCTCTTACGGATACGATAAGAATTGCTGCCTACGATTCGACGTTGTAGGGAACGGCGTTCACATGTGTAAACTAACCTGAGGCTGGACACCGATTAGATGGCAAAAAGTAATCTTTCTTTCACTGGACGTCAAATGAGTGTGGAAGACGTGTGCTACCAACTCAAGGTCAGATATAAATTCCTCGGAGCTAAAATGCTGAGCTTCGGAGCTCACTGCGCAGCGTAAAGCAGGGCGGGAGAAACCTCACAAAGGGTAGCGAGGTCAAAACTCAATCACTGGCGTGCGAACGGACCAAATTCCGCAGCCTTACTTCAACAAATAAGTTGGGAGTAGCACTGGCTTTGACAGATAGTAGTTGGCTTTTCACCCTTTTATCTGAACCCGGTACGCTTCAAACGCAATCTGGCCCTCAAGTGTCCCAGACTTCAGGACTTTGAGACACAAAACGAGTATAAAATATTCTTCTGAAAACAAAATCGCCTTACCCACCACCTGCAGTATCCATATCCACGTCTGTCGTCTTGAAAATCACTTGGACTCTCAAGATTCCCTTCAGCCTCTTGTCATTTATGTTTAAAATGCCACCTTCACCACCCATAAGGGTACGGAGGGGTCTTAACAGATTCGGCCGAGTTTCCTCTTCCAAAATAGGAGGAGCCTGCATATAAAGGTTTTCACCTTGAAGCGACACACTTGGTTTGGATATTTTATTTTTGAATCTTGAATCTTTCAAAAGAACGTCGATAAACTGCAAATACACAAAAGGTCTCAGTCAAATAGCACATAAATTTGAGTACCTCGAAGATATAGTCAATTTTAATTAGCTAGAACCAAATCAGCAAAGTCACCTTATCATGAGACATCCACTTCGAAAAAAATTTAAAAATATGGATTCAAGATGCAGACCTTTTGCAGGGTGGTGGTAGCCTCCACTTCAACTGGTACTCCAGCGCTGCACACAATGCAATTTGGATCCTTTTCGTTTTGGAAGGTTCTCATGTAGACACCATCCGTCCCAGTATATCTGACAAACAAAATCATCAGTAACATCAGCTCAAATTCGCTCAGAGTTCGACAGCTGCGAAGCATGATGAATAAAGTTCACCTTCAAAACAGGGATACTAAAAACTGTACGGGAGGATACGACATCAAATCTCAACGAGTGGAAGAGTTACAGTAGCGATTGTGACATGGTCACTCCATGCAAACGAGATACCACATACGTGACGATTACTTACAGCATCCAACGCATGATCCTTGATGCATCGTGGTGGCATGCTCTCTTACACTAGTACTCAACATCCACAAAAATCAAGTGTGTAAAATACGTACTGCATAAAAACTTCCATGCCTTTGCTGCACATAGTCGCGATTTTCAACGTCTCCAAGGCACATGTCGCTGCAACAATGGCATTCGTTGAAGCGATTGCAGGTATGATGTTTTTCACCACACCCTGTATGGCCAGTACAGTCCATCTTAGGAGAAGAGAAAGATTTGGGAACAAGATCAAAGTGACTCAATGTGAAGTACAACAACACAACTCACTTCAGACTTTGTCAGTGCACTAAGAAACCAAAGACATAGTAGCGATGACAGCAGATCATACCTGAGTTAGACTGTAGGTGACACCACTTATGCTATACTGCTCGGCTCTCTTAGCGGCCTGCAAGAAAGTTCAAGATCGTGCTTCAGCAAGATGAGGCCTCATCGTATCTAACATGTGAACAGCAACAGCATCTTTAACAAGGAAACCAGAGAGGTAAATTTACCGGCTAGATACCTGCTCGTAAATCCACTTCATGTGTTCTGGATTGTCTGGATCAAACGTCTCGCCGGTGCGGTCCTACATTGCATAAGGATTAATGATCCAAAAGGATTGCTCTCTGCTGGAACCAACAGTAATTGAGTAGCATTAAAGAACCTAACCATTGAGCTGGAAATGGGTGCTCTTTTCATATGATTTGACGATGTCTTCAGACAGTTACCTGACCCCACTGTATAAGATGGACAAATTCAATGCAGTGTGCAGGAGATCGCGGTGTCTCCGCCAGTGTACACAACGGGAATGTAACTTGTGGAGGAAACAGCCACATGGAACACTGGAAACAAGGTGTCATCCCAGGAATAATCACTCGTGCATGACCCTTGAATCCTTCCGTTCCTCCGTCCACCATAGGCTTGATAGTTGTAAGAATAGGGCTCCCATCCGGTTCATATTCTGCAAACGATCATATTATCCGGCGATGTCGACATTGAGTAGCAACGTTACTTCCGAAGTCGAGCGAGTCCAATGATCCATTGTAGATCCCAAGCTAACTACAAGGTTTTGGAAATAATAAATCTGTAACACATCAAGTGCATCCCTATTCTAGAAACAAATTTGAATAAATACACAACATTACCTAAAAAGCCACAGACTACTGCGTTAATATAGCTTCTTGCTTCCAAAGAATCCAGACCGAGGACAATGATCTGGAACTGGTCAAAAAAGGAGGAGTCCTTGTCCTCTATCCGACAATAATGAGGAACCACATTCACTCCTTTAACCCGCTCCATGACCCTCTCAGCAGCAATCTTTGCTTTCGGCTGTCCAACATCACGCATCCTGCGAAAGAGTATCGTCAGCAGTTGCTCATGATAATACTAGAAACACCAGGATTGTAGAAAGTGATTTCGAAAGGAGATCCAGACCTCTTAAATTACTCTCTTGAAGCCTGATAAAACAAATATTGACAACTCAAGAAGAATATCACAGACGCTCTTTTGTCTGATACAAGCCTACATGAGTGAAAAAAAAACCTCTCCTTCTGTAAGAACACCTACTACTCGGCCATTCTAACACTGATAAATTAGCTGTAGAGTCTGGAACATAATGGTGATCGTTCATCAACCTGGATGCACTATAAAACGGTCCGCAAGCTGTAAAAATTCAGCTTCAAAGATAGACATAAGATTGACTTACCTGAAGAGAAACTGTCGATTAAGGTTAGAAACATCAATTGTGTCCATATCTATGACTTCCAAATTACCAAATCCCGTTAAAGCCAGGTCCTTAAGTAGCTCGCATCCCAGACCACCAGCACCTATCACCAATACTCGGCAGTCATTTCTTATCATATCTCGGGTCTGCAAGGTGGCAATCAATTGAAGCTATCATTAGAAATGGTCTGCACCTTTACAAAACCAACTATTTGAAGTCCCTAAAAAGCTAGCCTAACAATCTAAGAACTTCTTCGTACGAAGGTCTGATGCTTCAGAATTATGCTAATTTAGCTCATGGCATTTCCAGTAGAAAATGTCCAATTCCATAGTCTCGTAATACTGACTGCAGACATCAAAGTGACTAGAACAGAGTGACCGATCAGGAAAATGACTCTCACTGTAAAGAGTTGACTTTTAAATAAATGCAAATTCTTGTTCATGGGAAACATACCCTAGCGACACTGCATGTGATTTCGACCAGCACACCGACAGCTAAACCCTCAACTTCCAAAAAGAATGAACGGAACTTCTCCCATGCATACGTCGCTTTGACTTCCGGTATCCGATTACTCGATGAACCTCGAAGTACGAAACTAAATTACACGAATTTAATCTAGTCCTCACTTCCTGGGAAAAAGGCCCCGGCAAAGCCCTAAGAGAGATACGAAATCAGTCCGCCCACAGGACAGATACGCTTTCGAACGACAGGCGACGATGCTGTGAGTGCAAAAGGGCCGTCCAACAACCATCACGGAAGAATACAGGAAATCTGACAACTCCAAAACTGATCTTCAATTTTGCAACGAAGCAGCAACAGAAAATAAACCTCACATCAATTCCAGGCTCAAAACCAGGACCAACGAGAATCCCCGGCCTCAGAAGCAAGCGATCCAGGTCGCGCCATCGGCCCTCGATATCGGTCGTCTCCGCCATCACTTCTGGCTCAGGCGCCCACGGCTCGTCCTCGCCCTTTCTCTTCTTCATAGAGGACTGTGACGCGCCCCCATCGCCCACACCTCCTCAAGAACGATGTTCAGTGCCAATATTGACATGACCTTCAAATCTTGGATCTGGCACCCGATGCAGCCGGTTCCGAACCGGAGCGTGCAGGGGGTACACCGCCTGCAGCAGGTCACCTGCGCGGGCGGGCCCACACTCCACTGGTTGCAGCAGGTCCCCGACCTCTGGCTCCCAGCTTATTCTGCGATTCGAGTGCCTCTCTGCTCCTCTTCCTCTCGAAGGAGCGCTGCAGCTGATCTTCAGCTATGGAGGCAATTCCCGCGGTCCTCTGCTGCTTCAAGACGTTCAATTCTCCGCAGGACGTGGCGCCGAGCGTTCGGCTCTCGCGGAATTCGAATTCGAGGAACTTGAATTCACTGCGGCGCTCGGAGCCAGCGGGCAGGCAGTTGAAAGCTGCACGCGCGCGGAGGCCCGGCTCTGTCGACAGAAGAGCTTTGACCGAGCTCGCCGTCGAGGGCGCGGTTGCGGAGGAAGTTGAAGTGGAAAGGCTCTCGACTTCTGGAGCAGGAGTGGGCGAGAGTGATGTTTCGGTCGGTGAATTCAGCTCAGGAATGCGGATTTCTAGTGAAGCAGGGAAGGACGAATTGGGTGACAGGGTGCTGGAAAGTCCAGCGGAAGTGGGCGGTGAGAAAGAATCTTTGAATTTTGCGGAAATTTTAGAAGATGAAGAAGTGAAGACTGTGTCACCTGAGCTTCTGGCCAGAGAGGTCGCGAAGCGAAGGAATTTTGCTATCATATCCCATCCTGACGCAGGAAAGACGACACTGGTAATTGTCCTTGCTGAATCGTTGTTGTGAATGTGATTATAAGCCTGCTCCTTGCTCTCGCCACGTGCCACTTGTCGTTGTGAGCCTGCGTGCCTTTCTGTGTGGCACCTTGGCTTTATGGCACGCGAGGGCAGCTCTTGAAAAACGTCGGATCTTATTCAGCTACTTTGCTAATTGCGAAATTTTTTTCTCAACGAAAGTTTCTACTGCACCTGTGTTCTGTTCTAGACAGAGAAATTGTTGCTCTATGGAGGAGCTATTCACGAAGCAGGTGCTGTGAAAGCTCGGAAAACTGCACGCCATGCTACTTCGGACTGGATGGAGCTCGAAAAACAGAGAGGTGGACATTCTGCTTTGTGTTGCCACAAGGAAAGTTAGTTAACCTGTATCAATGTTCGTCACTTATCAATTTTCGTCATCTTCTGTTTTTGCAGGTATTTCGATCACTTCAACTGCGCTTGTATTTGAGACTCAAGGCCGCCAGATTACCTTGCTTGACACACCCGGACATCAGGTACTTCTGCTGTTTTCGGAATCTTTGGAAACATGTTGAAATGCTTGGAAAGTCTGAACCGTGTACCATACATGTGGTCGCTGCTCTTGTACGAACAATACTCAAACTTGGTCAGTAACTTTTGTATCCAGCCGTCCATTTCTGCACTCCTTGACGAAGATAAAAGCACATGTAACAATCTGTTAACATAGAGCGACATATGTTAGTATGTTCATCCGTCACCTGGATGCGAACTGTGTTGTACAAAGTTCTTACTGTATCAGGCGTACGCGTTGCTATGTGGCAGGACTTTGGAGAAGATACATATCGGTACGCACTTAAAGCCTCAGGCACAATTCTATCTCAAAAAACTGAATTTGGAGTCGTGCAATTTCTTCTGATGTTGTGAGGCTGTTCATTAAAGTTTTGAACTTACCGTATATGGACATTGGGATGACTCTTTCAGGACACTAGCTGCTGCAGACAACGCGGTAATGCTTGTAGATGCCGGAAAAGGTCTGGAACCACAGACAAGGAAATTATTCGAGGTCAGACTGTGCTTGACAACACATCAAGGGTGTTCGTTTATGCTTCTGTTTTCTTGCTTCTCTCTTCACGTCATCTGTATTGGATTCTAGTTTATTTTTCAAGGAACTCCTGATCTTTTCTTGCCTTCCTCTTAAAGGCTTGAAAAAGGGGATGACTTTTTACAGGCTTTTATACGACTTGTAATTTGGATCGCTGAAACCAATAGTGTATCGTCACCATACATCATTGAGAACTGAAAGTGGTCGGTATTGTAGGTGTGCCGTATGCGTATGCTTCCTTGTTTTACGTTCATCAATAAAATGGATCGGCCAGCATTGGAACCTTTGGAGCTTGTTGACCAGATTGAGAAGGAGTTCGGACTAGCGACTTATCCCGTGAATTGGCCAATAGGCTCCGGAGATAGGTGATCATCAATCATTGATGCAGATCAAATTTCTCGATCGTGTGGGATGCCTCTCAGTTTTTTTGTTGTCGTGATCAGCGATGCATTGTTTTTTATGCTCATGAAGTTCATTCAAAGTGCCGTCGTTTGCTTTTCTTCGAAAGGTTCATGGGTGTGTATCATCGACCTCGGAAGGAAGTTCACATATTTTCTAAAGAAAAACACGGAACCAAAGCTGCCACTACTCAAATTATTCCCTGGGGTGATGCTTCTCTTGAGAAGATGATTCCTCGAGACCTTTTCGCCCAATTGGAGGTAAATCGTGTTATTTCTTCGTCTTCAAATATATGAAGCTAAATAATTATATTCATCAACTTCAGTCTCGGTACTTAATTTTAGTATGTGAGATCATTCCCAACCTCTTAGATTCCTTCCTCGTCAATCCTCACTTCAGCTTCTAGCAACTTCCTGGCTGAGCATGTTATCACTGGTCATCAGGTCATATCATAGAAGGCACATGGAAATGAATGAGACGCGTGTATTTCGCCGAAGAGCTTGACAAGCGCATTATTACATCAAAACATATAAGTGGACGTAGCTTGCAAGTTTGGGATGACATTGTTCTCTCAAATGAAGTACCTTATTGACTAATTAATTTCTCACGATTGTTTGACCGTATTCCATGATGCACTCTCAAACAGGAGGAGATAGAGTTGTTGGAAGAGTTGTCACCACCTCTGGATATGGAAAAAATTCACAATGGGGATCTGTCTCCTGTCTTCTTTGGCAGTGCCATGAACAACTTTGGGGTGTGAATCTGTTCCCTCGTTTAGGACTTGAGTTTACCGAACATCTTCTGTTCTAAAGATGTTCTAAAGATGACCTTTGTAGCTCATAGTTTCGGCAGACTATAAAGACTGTTATCTTTTCCGTGATGTGACACTTTGTCTACCTTTCATGATTATACTGTAACGGACAATCAAAACACGTCAAAAAGTTCCAATGTCAAAGCACGACTAATATATGGGAGAATCCGTGGGAAGTGTAGGTGGAGTTGTTCCTAGAGACTTTTCTTCAGTATGCAGTACCTCCTAGCACTCATGAAAGTGACATCGGTGAGGTTGATCCAGAGTACCCGAACTTCACGGGTTTTGTTTTCAAAGTAAGCTGTCAATGACATATATTGTCCATTTAGAAACCAAAAGTATTGAATGCCAAATGTTGCTTGAAAATATGGAAGTGTATGTTCTTCTAAGTCTTAGTTCTCTGAGTTTGGCTGCTGAAAGAAGAATACTCAGGCCTTAGTATATTATTAACACAAATCAGTGTCCAAGGACTGGGATACACAGCTTCCTATTGTAGCATCTTGCTGAGTCTGTGCCGAGCTCCAGGTGTCACATCTGTTATCTTCATTCTTTCAGCTCTCAGCCACGATACGGCGTGTATGGTCCTCAAAATATGAGAAGCACGCACTATTGTCTACAATTATCTTTGAATATTCATGAGTATATAAACCAGGATGTGACTTGCAATCTGCTCATGACATCGATGAAAAATTGCAGTTGCAAGCAAACATGGACCCAAAGCACAGGGATAAGGTCGCATTTGTTCGCGTCTGTTCAGGTATTGCTACTTTTTTGCCAGTCCTCAGTCATTTGAACTAATAACTGTGGACTCACTAATATACAAAAAAGCACTAATGGCCAGAAGAGTAGTCAAATCTAGGGGTATTCTTCAAATAGGTGCTGCTTTTGAAAATGTTTCAGAGGACGCGTTTCTTATCTTACTAGAGAAGGAATCGTGCCAATCATCCATCACTATGTTATTCAGATAAACGTCTGTTATCGCCCTACTCAGGTCAATTTACTAAGGGGATGAAAGTTCGGCTTGCAAGAAACGGCAAAACCATCGCTCTTACAAGACCACAGAAGATGTTTGCGCAGGATAGGACCACAATGGAGACGGGTTATGCCGGAGATGGTACGTTTTATTTTCGCAAAGAATTATGGAATCAATATTGTTCCTTCTTATGAGTTATTTTTGTTACATTCTTTAATCCCACTGCTCAGCTCTAGGATCTTCACGATCAAACAGTCAGAACCTGGAGAGCAAGATATTTGGTGACAAAGCTTATATATACTGATATATACGTAAGAGCGTCGGATTCATCCGTCGCTGAAATCTAAATTAGTTCTGTAACTTCACCGGAAGGGATTCCAATGTTTTTTAAGACCATAAATTATATTTCCCGGTCTGTTCTTGAAGATGACCTTCTGCATGTATCTTTTCCGCGTACCAAGTTTGAGGAAACCAAGGCTACGTAGCAAAGGACGTAGTTTGCAGTAGTTATCTGGGAGTTGTTTGTAATATTTTTCAATATGAGGACTCACCGCAATATCGGATATGTTTATCTTCGCAGTTATTGGGCTGAACAATCCAAATGCCTTCTGCATTGGAGATACACTTTACTGTGGCCCGAGACGATCTTTTCCTGGAATACCTTCCTTCTCTCCAGAACTGTTTTGTTATATGCGCAATCCGAATCCATCTAAGTACAAACAATTTTTAAAGGGCGTAACGGAATTACTTGGTGAAGGGGCTGTCCAGGTACGCAGTTTTTCAGCTCTCTGCCGGTTGTGAGCCAGACATCTTCATTTTTTAACGTTCAATTAGAACAGACAGTGGGTGTTCTAAGCGCATAACTTCTTCGATTTATCTCTAACCAGCGCTGGCATTCCCGTAAAGATCTGCGCTTCTATTAGTGTTAACGTCTTTGCAAAATCGAATCGAGATGTATGATGTCAATACTTCCCTTTTACCTTGTAGAGGCAACATTGCTTTGTTGGCGTGTCCAGGTATTGTATTCGTCTGATCCAGGGAGAACAGATCCAATTCTTGCAGCTGTTGGACAACTACAGTTTGAGGTGAGTTCTTACAATTTTCGTCTCAAGATTTAGTCTTGTCTTTTCACAAGCGGACGAATGAAATCTTCTTAGGCCCACATGATCAAGGAATTGTGTGTGGGTAATGTTGCGTTTTGTATTCCACGGCTTTGTTTTTTGCGCTAGCACGCTGTCAAACCTTCAGCGATTAATTCTGGGTGAAAGGATAGGATGCTTCCTACTTTGGGTCTGTCACTCTGATCTTGGTTCGTGGTCCTCTAAGTAAGTCTGGTTATCATTCTTGTAGGTGGTTCAGTATCGAATGCAAGCTGAATATGGCGTGGAGACGAACCTTGAGCCCATAGGTTATAGCGTAGCAAGGTGGGTCACTGGTGGATGGCCTGCTCTTGAAGGGGTCGGTAAATTGTACAACTGTGCAACCGTCAAAGATCAGGTCTGGCCATGTTCTATTTGTTCGGTTATTGCCTAAAATCAAGATCCGCATGTGCTCACCTTTCACATCTCCAAATCTTTATTGTCGACCTTCTGTTTACATGCTGATGTGATACGCCTATGAATTCCGTATGTTGATGTTGATATTTCTGTAGTAAGGACAGATCTGAAAGAGCTTGAAATACTTTTTTTTTGTAACTGTATGATCCGTACTATGAAGTCATCAAAAAGTTCGTAAGTATGTCACCACTTTGAAACAGATGAAAGAAAATTGGATCAGGAAGTTAGATCTGACTAATGAATAGCTGGCGCTTTCTCTGACTGCAACTCGGTCTGACTTGATTGCAGTGGGGCCGGCCTGTGCTACTTTTTAGGAACGAATGGAACGTGTCTCAATTGCTGGTAAGATTATGCTCCTGAATAGCCCCTTTTAGTAATTGTCACGATTAGAAGAAGTTCGTTTCGATGTGCACGCTTGTAGTTTACACGGTGTAATCCGGGAAGGCTTGTTGTAGCATGTTCAACGTTAATTACCATGTGTGGCGACGAAATAGCTGGAGATTAAGTCTTACCAAATTTTAAATCGGTAATTTTCCTGTGGTAATGATTGTGTCGTATATTTGCAGGGTGAAAAACCGGAAATTGGTGAGCTCGCCCCATATGCTCTACCTCCCGCAGAGGTCATCAAGAAGTAGGAATGTGCCCGCAATAGTAGTCGTCGTAGTCTCTAGTGACCTGTATCTGTAAGAACCGCAACTTCATTATTTTATAATTGTACACTAGCAAGCACATCTGTAACAATAAGTAATTTAGTTATGGTCTTGAAGCTCAAAAGGTTAGTCACCTATGTAAGTGATCGAGATTCCCAAGATAGAGTTGACTTCATCCTATTTGGGATCAGCGAGCAACGCACTCTCACCTACAACTATCATTTGAAATAAAGCTGTTCAAAATAGACCTTATCATGAAGAAGCAGTTGACGTATTAAATGCATATTGAGGAAAAGTGTATTCGACGCCTTCCATTTGTTGAATTCCTGTTCTTCAACCACCAGAATGCAATATCCTTTCCGCGCCAAAGTTCATATTATATTTTGGTCTTAACGATATTTCACTTGATAGAATCTCACTAGTCAGAACATGTCTGGTGCACTGGTGGGAAGGCACGGGAGTGCATAGTACACGCTCTACCACAACGGTACATGCTGCACCGCTGTAATTGCATGATGTCTTTTCAGTCACAACATACAACGACAGGTGGCATATGTGAATCTATTACCTGGATTGGCTCTTCAAGGTAGTTGCAGATTTTTCTGAAATCATTTTGGCCTTTCTGCAGCTTTTGCCATCCCTCTTACCCTCGTTAACAGAGAGAAGTTTAGTTGGAATATCTCAGTACTCATTGGCAGGACTTTTCGAAAGCCATGTTCAGACTCCACCTCCGAGTAGAAACAAAACTGTGTGAGAAAAGGTATGATTAAAGGTAAACAGATTACCGCACAGGGTTGTGTTCTCGGTGCTTCAGACACGGACCTGCTTGCGCTTAGATTGTTATCCTACTCGGGGGAGCCTGTTCTGGGCGTAGCTACTCGTGACTTATCAGTGCGTATACAACAAAGTTTATGAGGGCCTTTTCGAAGTATGAGTGGGGATCAGTAGATTTGTTTGTTGTGTAGGCCTGATTTATTGTTAGAATGTACTGGCTAGTCCGAAGGCATATTCGTCCCAGAATAGATCTTTAGACCGCGATGGTTTCTCTCTTCCCCGCATACCGCTCGAGACCTACATGGAACATAGGCCTCGCCGCCAGCATGCACTGTTGGCAACTTTGGTGCGATTGTACTGTCTTTACTGAAGTTCACTCATGTCATTGACCTTCCAGATCAAGAAGATGGTTGTACAGTCGACCCACTTTAACCGCATCTTAGACAGGCACGAAAATAAAAATGCTTAAGGTTTTCCAAGTACCCGTCACTAAGTTCAATGCTTTTCATAAACAATGATATTCTTGCTGTATACTGACTCCGCTGTAAGTTACGTTTAAAATAATCCACACGCACATGGTTATTGATTCAACACGAGTTCTGTAAGTCCAGAAGCACCCAATAGACGCTTGCAGTACGATGCTGTCCGTGAGGACGGACACTGGCAACAACTTTCATCTCCTTCTCTTATTGGTGTAACTTCACTTTACTCGTCCACAAGCGGGGTTCACACTGTATCACATCCATGGGACCAGCCGTGTTGGACTCTGGCCCGCAAACGATGGCTGTGAGTAAAACGGAAAACTTAGTTCGATTGTGAATACTATCATCAATTATATGAGACTTGAAACACTTTTGTAACTCGTGTGCCTAGCGTAAGAATTAGGAACCGTTTTATTTTATTTCGTTGGCATATATTGTATATATAGTTAATACACTCACACAAATGTTTCTCGATAATCATCGTCAACCAACATGCCTGGACCTTCCATGATATGTCATAGAAGAGATCAAAATTTTACTCAACCTCAATTCTATTTACATTAAAATTACTATAAATTTGTGCATAAAACTCTATCATCATCTCCAAATCCGGGCGTTGAAGAACTGATGTACTTGAGCCATACTTTTCCAAATCATGTGCATTATAACTCGAATTCATATTTTGAATACAGATTTTTATTTTTATTAAGAAAATTTGGATAAATCTATTTCTCGTGCGTGTTTATTTATACATAAGAGTGAATAGGGCATTTCACTTAGAAATATATTTCCTGAAATGGCATGAAATATTTATAAGAATACGATGGGAAAAAAATTTGATTTGAAATGTATCAATGACGAGCAAAATATCAGTAGCTTTTGCTTTTGCAATGTGAAGAACATTTTATAAATGCTACCATTTATAACGACTACATCTAATAGAGATTAACATGTATTCTTCGATGGAAAATATAAATGACCAAAACATGGGAAGGTACTTAGAAATGTGACTAAGATAGGTTTTATTTAAAAAGGTAAAAGAAGGAAGTATAAAGATTACTTTTATTTCACCATATAGGAACGTATGAGGTCATGATCACTGTCCATGTATGTCAATTATCGTGATGAATTGAGATTTGACTTCCATCAAGATAAGTCGGATCAGAAGAGCCAAATGAAAAAGGTATGAAAAAGGAAAATCATTTCTTTTAAATGATAATTTAATAGTCGCTAAAGAACGATGTGAAACTAAGTCCATCGAATTTAGAAATAGAATAAGTGCACTTAGCTTGTAAATTCACAGTATGTTGAGTAATATGTACATTACTCAACAATCATGGAGGTGAAAATCTTGTGCAAGACCGGAGGAGATGATGAACCAAATAGAAGTTATGCCATTGTAGCATAATCACTACAATGCTTCTAATAGGAATAAAGAGACGGCCATAGCGAAAGGAAGAAAAATGTACAAAAATCCCAACACACAAAAGCAAAAATTATCCTTGAAGCTGATATAATTTAGAATTCAACAAAGCAAAGACTCGGGAACTAAGAAAAGAAAACATTCCACAGAAGAGGCATAAACGGAAGTGAGTAGACAACATAGCGCCAGCTCGTGCAAGGCTTTGTAGGAAAAGAGTTCAGCTCGCTGGTGTGTGACTTTCTACACACGAGCAACGACATGTGCGACACGGACCTGAAATATAAGCAGACACGCGTACCAAAAGAAGAAGCTCGAAGGTAGACCATGTCCAGGATAAAATAGGCCGTGTCCATGTGAGGGTTCGACCCTCTCGGATCGGTGGCATGACATGAGGAGAATGGTGGTTGGAACTGCACTACTCTCTTCAGAAGTAGCTCGAAATTTAGTTCAGTTAGTTTCTGGAAATGCCACGCCCCTGAGTGACTCCGGGCATGCCATGCCAGTGCCGTCGAAAGGGAAGAATCTCCAGGTCAGCAATATTAAATAATCAATGAGCCCGAATGAGCCTCTGCGAGAGGAAACTGAATAGAGAGGTAACGAAACCGTCCCACCCCACGCAGCAGCGTACTCGGTGATTAGGCCAGGAGGTCATGGTTTCTTATTATTTTTATTTTTATTATCTGCGACGGGCCGAGATGGCAATTCCAGGGCTGAGGTCCAAGCGTGGGAATCGGTGTCGAACCGGCCGGGGCGAGCGGGGCACAGTTGGGTGGGGGGCTGGACGCGGTAGATCAGAGGAAGGCAGCGGGGAGAGAGCAGTGGCGACGGAGTTGGCCGGAGGGCTCTGATCCCACAGTTGCACAGTCGCACAGTCCTACTGGACGGCGTGCACATGAAGCACCTGCCCAGCTCAGCGGTGCCAGCGCAGCGGCTGCCCGATTTGCGTCTGGGGTTCGGTGCACATGAACGGCTCCGGTCAGGCCTAATATCTGGTGCCCGCGATCCGAGAATCGGTGAGCTACAATCTGAACCCTCGTCTGACTTGGCACTTGGCACTTGGCACTTGGCACCTGCGAGAGCTCCTCTCCTCTGATTCAGCACCCGGCCACGCAATCACCTCGCGCATCGCCAGCGTCAGCGCCTCAGAGCGTCAGAGCTCGGGTCGCACGACGGTTCACGATCGTACGCTCGTCCTCTCTCCTGCTCTCGCCGAACTCGAAGACCGGGATCTCGACACGTCGGCCTTCGACGCGACGATCGCCACTCGGCACGACGTCTTCCTGCTGACGTGGACCCTTTGGACCAGCCGGCCGGCTCTTCTCTTCTCCTCTTCGATCAGAATCTGAAGCCGACAGTCGAAACATGGAGCCCTCGGAAGAAGGCCAGCGATGGATTCGTGGTCGAGTGCGACGGGAGGTTCAGAACAAATTCATGGCGCTGCCGGCAGGCAGGTAGGCAGTGGGGGAGGCAGAGGAATACCACATGATTCAAACGAGCTAAATATTCCTCAGAGGGCGTGCAAATGTCCTTCGCTTAAGGAAAAGGGCGAGCAGTGGCTCGATCTTCCGCTCGTTGCGGGAGCGATCTCGACTGCTAGTTGGGGGTGGGGATATTTTCATGTCTCCATCGCTGTGCACTACTTTATTGTGCGTCATGGTGATCTTGGCTCGGATCAAGCTCAACAGTCTACGAATGTTGGTAACCTCGATCTGTCTTGCTGCTGCCCCGAATCACGTCGCGGAAAAAACCAAAAACGAACGAGCGTTGGTTGGTTCTGGCGCTCATGATCCCGCGACCTCCTCCATGGTCCACCAGAACATCTGGGCCATCATCAATTCGGTGTTCAACTCTCGACATGTGGATTCCAGCTTTACGCCGGTGCAACATCTGTCCGGTGGGTCGAGGGCGAATCACTCCACATCTTTCGTGGTCCATGTGAGCCAAGCCGAGGAGAAAGAAGCCAAGAAAGCACGGGCCGCAGAATCTCCAGGCTCCACAGCGCGCTGCGTGCGTCAAGACCCTTGCCGACTACTCACTACTGCTGCTGCGAGCGCCAGCAGCTGCAGCTGCACTGCACTGCACTACTGCACTAGTGCCGCGACGACTGTGCTGATAGGGAGTGTCAGCTGCTCCGTGTCTGGGCTTCCTTCCTTCCTTCCTTCCTTGCTTGTTTGCTTGCTTGCTTGCTTCCTCGCTCACTGTTGAGATATGATTCTCTGGCGAGAATTGCTAGAAAACCTCGTCCATCAGTGCCCTCTTCCCGAGGAGCTGATCCGTGCCGGTTCTCGCTGTCTGCCTTTCACCTGACGGTCTGTGGTGGGTGTTCTCACTTTAGTCGCCCCTGCCCGGCGGTCCCCTCCACCAAGACCGGTTCTAGTCCCTCCCTCTCTACTACTCTCTCCTACTCTCTCCTACAGACACTCATTGATATTCCCACCTTGACCCTTTCTTGTGCGATTCGGAACAGCCCCAGGGCAGTGCAGTGCAGTGATTGTTTTCTTCTGCTAGACTAGGACAATGCATCTATTTGCACTGGCTGGCCGGCTGGCTGGGGAAGGGGTAAAAGTCAGAGCAGGTTCTTGT